CAGTGGATTCTCTGCTTGATGTTTCACCTTTCAACCAGAAGTTCCACTGTTTATATTACACTTCCAGCCAATTATTCACAGTTGTTACGCTGTCTCCAAGTCAGTTTTGCCACTCTTTTAATTATACACCGGCATAGCATTGGTGCTCCTACCTTTTAAAGACTACTTTAAAGACACTCTATTAACATGTGGGAACATTTTTATCTACAAGGTCAAGCTACTCTCAGGAGAGGAAAAAACTGTGCAGGCAGCACATCAGTGAAAGAACATAACTTAGGTCACATTGCTTATAGGAGAGGAATCGTGTCGTTAGCTGTTTTTAAAAGAGACTAATAAATCTGATAACTTAAAGCAAAGTCTCGTTTAAAAGTGAGACCAGTTACTGGAGAGGAGAGAGTGTGGAGGGAGAGAAAGAATCACAGAAGAGGACACACAAGGCAGAATCATGTAATTGGAGGGACCTGTATGGATCATTTTGTTCAACCTCTTCTATAGAGGGAATTGGGGTCAAAGAAGTTAGATGATGTGCCCAAAATTAGAACAGTAGGTAACAGCAGAGAGGGAGTTGGAACCCAGGTTACCCCAGCCACACAGAGACAAAGAACAACAGATAAGAGAGGGAGGAAAAGTCAGGTGGAGAAACTGGATGCTGAATTTGTTTACTGTTATGTTCAACTCCCGTGCTCCTTTCATTTACCTGGAGGTCGGTCACACTTCCCCTTCCAATATGTTGTTTTGCTCCAACAACTTGAAATTATCTCTAAAATTTGGGAAGAGCTTTACTTACAAATTTAGTTGTGGAATTAAGATGTACTTTTTCATAGAACTCTAAAGATTTGGTATGCATACAAAAGAGGGCTTAATGTTTCAGATCCCTAATTTTTAATCTCAGAGGCATTGATAAGTTGTTTTTTGTTTTTTGTTTTGTCTTAAAAAATTATACCGACAGCCATTGGCAACTGATTTACTTGCTTTTATTCTTGGAAAGATTAGGATTGTTCAGTCTTTCAGTGCCTAAAAGTGTGTGATTTCTTTAAAAATTAGCATTTATTTCACTGCTCATGATCTTTTGTTTCCAGGTCAAATTCAGGATGGGTGACTGTGTAATTGGTTCCAATTGCAAATTGTTTAAGTACAACTTTAGAACTCTTTAGGGATAAAAATGAATCATTTTAGTGTGAGGTGATATTCCTAAATTAATTTGTACATGTTATTTTTATATTTCCAGGATTCAACCAAGTTTCATTTCTTTTCCCTCTGCCTGGTGTTTTGTGGTTTTTATTGTCTTTTTTTGTCGTTGTTGTTTTTAACTATCAGGCTGCACTGTCATTATGGTAGCCACTAATCACTTGTGACTATTTAAACGTAGATTTATTTTAATTAAAATTATATTTAATTTAAAATTAAGTTCCTCAGTCATACTAGTTACATTTCAAGCGCCCAGTGGTCACCTGTGACTATTATGTTAGACAACTTAGATCTCTGGAACATGTCTATCATCTCAGAATGTTCTAGTGGATGACACTAAGGGCAAGTAACTGGGAATGTCTGTCTTGGGCACCCTTTATTGGCCAGTAATGTAAAAAGAAGCCAGAGGTTCTCTGCATGCATTTCAGAAAATGATCACATAATCCATAAGGTCTAAACGTTGCAGCTTCATGGATTATCTCACAAACGAGCAGAGCTAATGTCCTTTAAGGCTTGTGACTAGTCTCAAATGTTGCTCTCAAGGGTAGGCAGTTTCTAACATAAAAGGTAGTTCAAATATTCATGTGTAAGCAAATTTGGAATTCAAAAGACATTCACCCATAAGAAAAATGTTATAAATCATGTGACTGAAACTTTGCATTTTCTGAAATAAAAATTAGTGGAAATGGTAACCAGCAGAAAATCAACAAATTTTAATGTTTCAGGGCAGTTATAGATTAGTAGGAAGAAGTATACACACACCCCCAATACACATGTACACACACACACAGAACAATGTTAGATTAAGTTTCTGATTTAATTAGCCAAGAATATAAAATCTTACTGGAAGTGAGTTGGCTTACAGGGCAGGAGCAGGGATGTGGCATATCCCAGCCTAGCTTCCCTTGACACCCAGAGTTCCTACTTCCAGTCTGCATGAGGAAAGGTCTTGCCACACCTGTGAGCTCAAATCTTGTTATACCACTGTTCTTTTATAATCACAGCTTACATCAGCAATCTGGAAGAACTCACACCAACAATGTATGAATTTTTGCTTATGGAACTATTTACAAACATCAGACATTTCTAGAGCTCTGGCCACATGTAGCATCAGCAAAGCAGCATCCTTCTCTTGAAGGGATGCAGCAGGGTTAGGGCTGAGGTCCCATCACTACTTCAGCCCCAGAAAATTTTATTTTCCCAATCCATTCCCCTCGCTCTGATTTTACGCTTTTTTATCCGGGTGGTTCAAAGACTGAGTTCTGATGGAAGACCATGCTCACAAATCCACTTTCCCAGAAAATCAAATCCAATTAGAAAAAATCAAATTGATCTAAGAAGTTGACTCTTGAACAATAAGACAGGTTGAATTAGAGGAGGTAGATGAAAGTTTGTGCAGTGATCCTGGAGGGACTGTTGGAGACTTCTAAGAGCTCTCAGCATTAATGGTGATGATTGTACTATTCGTTCTTATTTTATTTTCAGACTCACAGCTTTGTTTCCCTTGGCAATGGTAGATCACCACACTGCTCATATAAACAGAATCTATATTTTTCTCACAAATTCAGGGCAGAAGAGAGAGTGAAATATTTTCCAGGGAACATTGAGTAAGAATCAGAAAAAGAAAAGAAAATAAGATTAAAGAGAATGTTTATGAACATTCTAGGGGGTGGGGAAGGATTGCTTAGAGCTGCAGGGGGGATGTGATGGCCGTGATACCAGTGAACGTTTGCGGAGCACTTAATGCAGTTTTTGAAATATTTTGCATGTATTGACCTATTTAATGAGTTATTAATGATTTAGTTAACTAGCTGATTCATTTGATTTTTGTCTTAAATTTAAGACAGAGAAAAATAGATGAATAATGTGCATAAACTCCATGAAAGAAAGATTGTGAGAAGTATATTATTCTTCCACCCCAGTTAGCAAAGTTGTCAGAAACCACAGTTTCAGTGCTAAGCAACCAGCTCTTTGCCCTATAGCATGCTTGTGATTCAGGAAACCTGTAAATGGGAGATGATCAGAAGTCCTGATTTCCTGTTCCTCTTTAAAAGGAGGAGGGCAGATGAGATCAGTTTTGGAGATCATAGGCCTCTTTGAGAATATGAACAGAGCTACAAGATAATGTACATAACACTAAATTTAATTAAAGAGAAGTGTCAGACCGAGGTTATGCTGCAGTCTCAGAGGCAATGACAGCAGAGATTTCTTCTTGCTCATGATAGAGGTTTATGATGGGTTAGTTTGGAGTTCTGTTCCATGACTTCTCAATCTGGATCCAAGCTGATGCATCCTGCACACCATCTGGGGTAACATTCATTGCTGGGTGAGGGAAAAGGCAATATAGCAGATCACATACTGGCTCCTAAGGCTTCCAATTGGAAGGGACATGCACAATTTCAATTCACATTTCACTGCCAAGCAAGTCACCATGTGCAATCCTCCATGTGCCTAGAAGAAAAGCTTCAAATTTCCAGTGAACAGGCATAACTACCACACAGGGTCAAGAATCCCCAAAGTAGGTGAGCTCTAAATTCCTTTGTAGTTCAAGGTTGCTGTGAGTCCAGATTGATTTATGATATGCTTATTCAGAGTTTATCCAGGAAGTCTACATACATAAATGATAGGTACCAATTCCCCCTCAATCAGGTGGTTATCTTTATAACCAGGACAAGAGTGAGCCTTCTCCTAATAAGGTATGAGCAGAAGTTTTTGGACTATTCCTTCAACTTTGAGTGAGAATTGAAGAAATAAGTAATTCTCTCCCCAGTGCCACAGGGGTTTTCTATAAGAGAGAAGAGTAAGTTTCTCAGTGGCAAAGTTACCTCAACAGCTTATGCATAATGAGATCAAACCAGACAGTTACCAACATTCCTTCCAACCATGAGATTTTGTGCTCTAGGCAGGTGCCTAATGAAATATCAGATGACTAGATTTTAGAATGGCCAAGCCAAGTGTATCTCAGAAAAGGATATCTAGAAAAGTAGCCATGAAATGGTCTTAGCATTCTCGCTTTGGCAGCACATATACTAAAATTGGAGATGGTCTTAGCAAGAGAATAATAGACCCAATAAGCTAGTAGAACTCTTAAGCATCATCAAGTGCTGGCCACTCAACTGCAGCTCCCAGTGACTTCAACCCTTTCATAATCTCCACCAGTATTTTTTTCTTAATTATATACATGTAACATTTTCCCAGTCTTATGGAAAGTGCTGTTCAAAGGCAGCTTTGAGATGAGTTCCCTCTCCCTCCAGCCAGAGTGCCTCCCGTTCCCTTCATGCCTTCCTTATAAAAGTCTGTGCTACCTTTGACCACCCTCATTTGATAGACGTGAAAATTTAGGCCCAGAGAGGGGCTGTAACTTGCTTAACTCAAAAGCCATTTGGAGGCAGGGTCAGTCACCCACTTCTTTGAAACTTCTGAGTCAATTGCAAGTCCCAAATTCCCTTGGACAAGTTTGGGGCCTAATTTTAATTTAAAGCTTACTCAAAAGATGGTATTTCTGATAATTTACCTTGAAATACTCTATGTCCTCTTATTTGTCTTCATTCAGGGATTTGGCTTGTGTTCTTGCAAGGAAAGGCTATGCTCACTCAAAAGTCCTTGCTTGCTTAAGGAGGTCTATGGACATGTCTCATACCACTCAGTGCTACCTTAGCTTGGCAGTCATCCTGATGATGAATTGAAGATACTTTGCACATCATTTCTTCCCCTTCAGCTTTTTCTTCCAGCTATAGTTATGATAATGTCTTGCAGCAGACTTGGTAAAGAATCAGGGCCTCTGGATAGTGATCTCTTTGTTTCTCTTACAGTTCCTTATCAGCAGAATCCTTATAATCCACGGGGCAGCTCCAATGTCATCCAGTGCTACCGCTGTGGAGACACCTGCAAAGGGGAAGTGGTCCGCGTGCACAACAACCACTTCCACATCAGATGCTTCACCTGTCAAGGTAGGAGGCTCAGCTCCCCCACCCTCTTCTTAGATTCCTGCCCATTCTTGCACCACCAGGTCATGCCTCAGGGGCAGAAAGGACAAACATAGGCAGCTGGAACATCTACAAAGACCTAAAGAGACTTTCCCTGAGCCTCTTCTTATGAGATTCTCCCTTAGGATGAGGGCAGTGTGTTGGTACGTGAGGGAGACAAGGATCCTGGTAACTTTGGAGGGGCAGGTGCTGACCCAGAAGGAAAAAGACTATCCTGCAAATTTAACTTACTCATCGGAAGAGACTCCTGGTTTGTGCCTATAAATCAATGTGAGAGCAAATGAAAGTGCAAACTATCTTGGGTAAAATTCAGGATAGTTTTTTGTTTTTTTGTTTTTGTGTTTTTTTGGTGTTTTTGTGTTTTTGTGTTTTTGTTTTTTTGGTGTTTTTGCGTTTTTGTGTTTTTGGTGTTTTTGTGTTTTTGTGGTTTTGTGGTTTTGTGGTTTTGTGTTTTTTTGAGATGAGTACCTATTCTATGACAGTGTGGCAATCTTCAAAGGTTACGTTTAACAAGGGAGAAGAGATGTCACCTTGGTAAGGTTTGTAATTTGAGAGCACATAGCTGTTAGGTCACCTTTCATTGTTACAGCTTACGCGAGGCTAATTTATATAATCCTAGACTCAACCAAGCTAAGAGTTCCTAAAGAAGATAGATAATTAGCAGCAGGAAAAGGGACTCAGCTGAAAGAGCACAGAGAGCCCTCTGGCCTGGGGGCAACACGCCCTTCCACAATGTCCCTACAAACATCTCTCCAGCCTCCGCATCTCGACCTCTTCGTCCAGGCTTCCCTAAGCTCCACAGAGCGGCCATTCTAATGTTGGATTGCCTGTGGGTTTAGTAAATGTTTGACCCAAAATTTGTTACTTTATTGTTGATCTTAGATTTGTCCTCATAAAGTCTGAAGAATACTTTGTATTTGCTTTTCCCTTTGACTGTTCTTCAGATACTCGTATCCAGGTCTTCCCCATGTCAAACTACTTCACAGGTCCTTAAATTGGGTCTCATCTTAAATGATTCCAACAGTGCCATCGTCCTGGAGTCTTCCTCTTTGATCCATTCTAGTGTGTCGCTGTCGTTCTTAAAGTATGATACTCAGAACAGATCACAGTTTTCGAGGTCTGGCAAATACAAAGGACTATATTTCCGTTGATGTAACTGAGATTGAACTGACTTCCTGAGGAGCCACTTCACACCACCAGCTTATATTGAATTTAATGTCAGTTGAAACCCCCGGTTCTTTTTATATCAGTAACTGCCTCAGTCTCATGCACCTGAGAGTGACTTCCCCTGCCATTGTGAAAATCCTGAACTGCTTTCTTCATGATCTAACTAGACTCTGCACTGAGCAAACAAATTACATATTCATATTTCCTAATTTGTTTATAGAGGTATATACGGGATACATTTTAACTGGTGTGATTTCAATTTTATATTGAGTATTGGCAAACCCCTTTAGTATAAGTTGAATTGCAAGAATATCTTGGTGAGTAATTATTTTTACACCCTCTGAAATTGAGGTAGGACAAAGGGTAAAGGCAAGGAAATTGTTCCGAAGTGGTTAAGGGTATAGTTATGTGATTATATTCTTAAGAGAATATATCAGTTACCTTTTACTTAAGCAAAAACTTAATAGCTTAAACCAATCATTTATTTAGCTCATGATTCTCTGGGTTGGCTGGGCAGCGTTTCCCAGTTTCTAGCTCTGCTTATCTGTACTGGCCTCATCATGATGATATGCAGTCAGCAGGTGGGTCTGCTGGCAGTGGTTGGCAAGCTGCTAACCCGGGTGTCTCCACATAGCTTCTCATCCTCCAGTGGGCTGGCTTCGGCTTGTTCATATGGTAGTCTCAGAGCTCCAAGTACAAAGAGAGAACAAGCTTTAATAAGTAAGACCTTTTCAAACCTCAGCTTAATGTCCTGCTGTTGGCCAAAACAAGCCAAATGGCCAACCCAGATTCAAGGTCACGGAGAAATAAACTTTGCCTTTTGTAGGGGGATCTGCAGCATCAGATTTCAAGGGTGTTAATGCACAAAGGAATAATTTGACCATTTTCACATTTACCACACAGAGTTTGTGGAATCTCTTTCAAAGTAGATTTTAAGAGGGAAAAAAATAGACCAATATTTTTCTGAATATTTTCAATGTCCATTTGCTTAAAGGTAAAACAAATGAGAAGATTTTTATTTCCAACAGTAATCAACATGACAATTAAGTACCCTATTAGACAGTTTTCTCATCTAAATAATCTAAAATTTTTATGAATTTCTTTTACAACTATTTTAACATGCACTGCTGTGCTGACATGAAAGGAAGGAATCTACAAAGGTTAAAAATGGAAACAGAAACCCTGCTGTGACTCCCAATGCCTTATTTCATCCTGATGATAGTTTATCTTAAACCTTGGAGACCTTGAGCTTTTACTCTGTTGTCTAAATGGATCATGGAGAACAGGAGGCTAAGCTTAGCATCTAGTCAAAGTGGGAATCCAATAGGAGACTTATGTATACAGCTGTTTCCCCCTGAAAAAAATGTTCTCGGTGTATGAAGGATAAGAAATAAACTGGCTCTGGAGAGGGAGAGAGCAAGGAAACTTGCCTGTTCCAACTTTGGCACTGGGTAGAGGGGAATAAAACAGTGGCTCACTCCTGTAATCCCAGCACTTTGGGAGGCCAAGGCAGGAGGGTCATGAGGTCAGGAGTTTAAGACCAGCCTGGCCAACATGGTGAAACCCCGTCTCTACTAAGAATACAAAAATGTGCTGTGTGTGGTAGCAGGCACCTGTAGTCCCAGCTACTCGGGAGGCTGAGACAGGAGAATCGCTTGAACCCAGGAGGTGGAGGTTGCAGTGAGTCAAGATCGCGCCACTGCACTCCAGCCTGGTGACAGAGTGAGACTCCGTCTAAAAAATATATATATATATATATGAAAAATTGTTTATGAAAATATCTGTCCATAATCCACCCTTTATTCATGTACATTTATAATAAAAATTATAACAATATATAAAATATACAATAGAGTCAAGCAGAAAATCTAAGTTACAGCAGTCTCCCGCCTGGCAAATGGCAAAAGCAAATGATACTCCTCTTTGGAGGAACTCAACTTTATTCCAGGCCTCAAAGACTTTCCACACATAGCGTGATTATGAAAATGGGTAACTCACAGTCAGTCAAAAACTTACAAATTATAATGGAGTGAGAGCCAGCAGAAACAATGGCGAACAGAATCAGAACCTCAATGGCTTTGTATATTGAAATTTTCTGTCATTATATAATAACTATATTGATACATTTAAACAAACTAGAAAATATGAGCAAAAAACCGAACAGTACATTATAAGAAATAGTACAGAAGATTTGAAAAGGAAACAAGTAAAACTTCTAAAAACAGAAACATATAATCTTTGAAATTAAAAATTCAATGTATAAATTAAATAGCAGATTAGATGTTGCTAAAGAAAGAACTAATAAACCAGAAGATTTCATCCAAAAAATGTTATACAGATAATAGATCAAAAATATGAGAAGGTGGTAAAAAAAAAAAAAAAGAAGCTAATATGTGGAGAATATAGTGAGAGGTCCTGACATGTATTTCTAATCAGAGTTCTGGGGATACATAATAGAGAACATGAGTGGGAGGACAATATTTGAAGAGACAACAGCTATGAATTTTCTAGAGCTGTTGAAAGACACATATCCTTGAATCCAGAAAACCTAATAAATTCCTGCAGGAAAATTTAAAAGAAATCCACCTACACATACCAGAGTAAAACCTCAGATCATCAAAGAGCCAATCTTAAAAGCAGCCAGAGAGAAAAGACAAATCATCTGCATATAAATGGTAAATGGACAGACAGCTGACTTTTCAATAGCAACAAGGAAACTAGAAAACAGCAGAAGAGTATCTTTAATGTACTAAAAGAAATAACTATCAAGGAAAGATTATGTATTCAGCAAAACTATCTTTCTAGAACAAAGACAAACCTACAACTAAGATTATACTTAATGGTGAAAGACTGAATGTTTCTGTTAGATATGAGTTCTAAATTTCTTTTCAAAGAATTAATATGTCAGTATGTTCAATTCTTTGCCTTCTACTTTTAAACTTAACTTCCTTGTAAAGCAACCTTTTTCAATTACCTACTCCACCCTGACTCATTCCGATTACCTACTCCACCCTGACTCATTCCGATCACCTGTGCCACCCTAACTCATTCTGATCACATGCTCCACTCTAGCTCATTCAGATTACCTGCTACCTGCTCTGCCGTGACTCCCGCCAATGCACTCACCCTGTCATTCTCTTTAAATTAGCCAATCGGAATTAGTTTAGCCTGTGCGGTCTAATCCTAGCCAATAGGGGAACCACACAGCAGCAGGGGCCACGTGCCTCAGGGATAAGAACCCCTTCCCCTCCCTTGTCCAAGTGCACCCTCACCTTTGCTCCATCTGTAAGGGTGCACCCTGCTACAGAAGTAACTTGCCTTGCTGAGAATTAAAAAGAAAATTTTATATTCTAGTGCTATTCCTTTTGCGGCACCAAAACTTATATATAACATTTCCCTGTAAGATCAAAAACAAGACAAAGATGTCTGCTCTCACCAATTCTATTTGACATTGCATTTCAGGTTAGTGCTAGGTTAATTAAGGAAGAAAATGAAATAAAAGGCATCCAGATTAAAAAGGAAGAGGTACAACTATCTCTGTTTGCACATGACATGATCTTATACAGCAAATCCCAAGGAATACTAAAAATTTATTAGAAATAATAAGTTTATTAAGGTTTCAAGATATAAGATCAAATACCAAAATCAATTCTATTTCTATACTGTAGCAATAAAAAATCTGAAAATAAAATTGAGAAAACAGTTCCATTGGCAATAGCATCAAATAAATACATAGGAATGAATTTAACAAAAGAAGTTCAAAATGTGTACTCTGAAAACTACAAAATGTTAAAGAA